GGATGCTATTTTCATTATTTATTATTATGTTTTAAAAGATAATGTATATTTATTTTTTTGAAAAATTTTGAAATTAAAATTTGTGTAAACAAAAAAAATAGATAACAAAGAAAAAAGAAAAGAAATGTAAACATTACCTAAACCTTCTAGCCTAAAGTGATTTGTTGGGTCCGATTTGGTTCGGATGAACCGATGTTAATTTGAATGGAAAACAAACGGTTCACTGGTGGTCCAATTAGTTAGGTTGGTCTGAGAATGGTTTAGAAGTGGTTTAACTGAACCAGTTATGGAATGGTTGAAAGGGGCAGTGGTGGGTTAGGTGTATGGGTTTGGAGTCAACTCACGAGTTGGCACATGGAATTGAGGTTTTTATACGGCATCATTTTGGGCTTCTCCTTGCTATAAAAGACACACTTTTTGTCAATTCATTTCTTCTCTCCTTCACCAAAAATATTTTTTTTTCTCTCAAAACCAAAGTAGAAGCCCTCTAATAAACCTAAAAAAATAGATTGTTTAGTGTCGAGCAAGCCGTTACCTTGTTCATTGCCGACAGTTGCCTCTGGTGGTAAAAAATCATCCAAAAAATACCAAAATGATCCTCATACCCTTCTCTATCAACTTTTAGCCTACTTTTCACTAAAAACTACCCCAATCTCCCTAAATCAACCTTTAAAGTATCTAGCAAACTTTTTTTTTTGGATGTTGGTGTTAGGTTCCATGCTAGAAGGGACTGTGGTATTTTTTGTTTGTTTGTTTGGTTTATAGTGGCTTGGATTTTTTTTTCTTGGCAATTTTGGTTCTAGTTGATTTTTTAGGCTAGAAAGATTTTTTTTTGGTTTGATTGAAGCTTTTTTTCTTATTTTTTTGAGGTAGTTTTTGTTGCTTTTTTTGTAGGATTTCTTTTTTTTTAGGTTATTTTTTGGCGGAGTCTTCCTCATTTTTTCCCTTTGTTCATGCATCATCATTTTTATACTTGATTTATAGAGCTGGCTTGGGGATATTCTCCCATATTTTCGATCATGATTTATGCTATAAAGGTGATGGTGGCAGGTGCGACTAGCTACTAGCAACTGTGGCCGTTGTGGGTAGGTGGGTTGGTGTATGGTAGTTTTGCAGATGAGAGAGGTCGTCATGATTAGGTAGGTGGGGTGGCTGTGGGTAAGTGGTGGCTCAAGCAAGTGAGTTGCTAGTGTCAAGCACGGCATCCACTACTATCGGCCCTTGATTTTATCTTTTTTTATTTTAAAATTTTTTTAATTATTATATTATTATTACCATTTAACAAATAAAAATTAACAAATAAAGCTGAATAAACAAAATTGGGCCTTTAAATGGGCTCTATCTTAGGCCCTGGGTCAAATAAATTGAAATCAAACTTCGGCCTTAAAACCTTGATAAAACTCGAACTTAAAACTGAAGCCTAATTTAGAAAACTTGAACGAATTTGGTGTTTACACATAGAGAGTGACGTTGATTTGTTAATAAGGTTCTGGAAGTGTGCCAAGAAAGCCTCTGGCTCTATCTTACCTGCTGCAATATCGTCCCGATTAGTGAAATACTAAAATCCCTTTACTTTTTGTTAAAAATATCTTTAATGAATTTTGAGATGTTCTTTGAGTTTTTTTAGTTTATTTTCAAATAGAATTTATTTAATTATTTTTGTTTTTTTGTTTTAATTATAGGAATATACATTAAAAGTGATTGTTTAAGGTAATTGCTTATTTAAGGTAATTTTGAAGATTATGTGGTTTTTTTTTTAACTTATTTTTTAATTTTGTTTGGTTCTTAATAGTTATTTATTCTAATGTTTTTCTATTATTCTTTTAGAAATATTATTGTAGGTTAAATGTGAATGCTAATGAGGTTTGTACTATCTCTTAATTTTCAAGTGAATTGGAAGCTTTCATTTCTGTTTGCCTATCCTTTTGGTCCTTCGACGTTGATTGGAGCTTCCATTTCTCCCTCCCGTTATCTCTCCAGTTTTAAACTATGTTGGGATATAGGCCATCTAGCTATATGTTTAGAATCAAACTCAGTAATGGTTGTGTTAAAACTTCGAAAGATTCCTCCCTATTTTGATCTTCATTTTAATTTGATTCAAGCTTGCAGGGATTATAAATAGAGAGATTGGATTTTTAAGATGCATCATATTCATTGATACTCCAATTTTTGTGCGACTAGATGGCATTTTATGCTAAATAATGGTCCATTGGATTTCACGTAGTCATGGAATCCCCTAATAGAACTAAATCTCTTTTGTATAGTTTTGGGTCTTTACTTGGTTTTAACCACTTCTAAAAGCAAAAAGGTATATTTTAGATACAAATAATAATATTTAATAAAATAAAACTAAAATTTTTATATTTTATATTGAAAAATGCATGATTTTAATTTTTATAAGAAAAAGTTCTATTAACACCTAAGTAATATATTTTAGTCATTTGCTTATTTGGTAATTAAAGTACGATTTATTTAATTAATTGCTATTAGCTACTGGATGCAGACGTTAAATGTACGCTTGGATACAAAATTGGTTATTTTTTTTTATATGAAATAATTTTAATAGAATAATGGAGTTTTTATTGGCTTGTACATTATTTGATACTCTCTTTTCTTATTAAGATTTGTGTGGATTTTATGATTTATAATACTTAAATGAATAGCAAATTTCTATGCTTAAATGAATAGCATATATGTTTTGCTAAAACTTATTTACAGTTTACATGTTTAAATCCTTAATAATTTCTTAAGGTGAAGATGGGATTTTAAGTAGAGTTTTTGTATCCAATGCTGTTATGGAATTGCTTTTTATTGTTTTAACTAATCTGGGTATTGTGCCACCTAATTGAAGGCCAACTATGGAAGATGAGAGGAGGAAAGGAGGGAGGCTTAATCATTGAATGGTTTAGAGTTCAATGGTTTACTGGCAAACCCATCGAAAAAATTCAGGTTACTTTTGCAGTTGACGAAGTCCTGTTGTTGACTATACTTTCCATTGTCAAAGCACTTCTTCAAGTATCATCACTTTATCATTTCCTATTTTTGTAGTTAAGATTCTACATAATACTGCTTTTACAACATTTTAGCATAAACAATTGCATGATATGACATTACATTGGACATTATCTTAAATCTATCACTATTATCATTAATTTCTTAATTAAGCTGAGATATCAGATAATTAAGATTCAATTAATTGGGACAAAAAACATTATTGGAGAGTTGGATTAAGTTCCTATTGTTGCAAATTGACACTTCCAACTGTATCATTCTTCATAAATTATCTTCAGTTTATTTTGATTATGAACATAATTGCCAAAGCTCGAAATTATAATAACTATTTAATAATAGGTAGTCTGCAACCTTGGATGTGCTGTGTTTGTGGTTATCTTACTTTTTTGTGTGATTTGGGTTATTGTTTTGTATCTGGGAATTATTTTAATTAGGGTGAGGGTTCTTTTGGGATTACCAAGCCAGTGACATTGCTAAAAACTAAAAATCTTTTTAAAATCTTGGAAGGATCACAGTTCCAAAATTTAGAAGATCTTTAAACTTTGGATTTGTTCTGTTTGTTCAATCTTCATACACCTAATTTCTTAATTTTTTTATTTAATAATAGTATTGTTATTTGTGATGACAAATTTTACAGCAATTTCGCCTTTTCAGGTGGGTCTCTTATAATATTGTTACTTGTGATGACCAATTGAATAACAATTTCACTTTTTCAAATGAGTGGTGTGCGCTAAAGATGGGCCATCGTTGTGTGAGGTTGTAAGTTGTGTCGGTGCATTAGATTATAAGTATTTCTTTCTTTTTTTGGTATGTTTGCTTATTTTCGAATTACTTTCTTATGCATTTTATGTTTTATAAGCTCTAATTGCTTTATTCATCTTAGACTCTTAACTATTTCTACTATTTTCATGTGTAATGTTAACTATATCATTGTTTTGATTTAATTGTCAAGCGTGCAAAGTCTCATTAACAGCAGTCAATTATATATGGAAACTTGGCTAAATGTATAAAGTGGAAGTCTTTCTTAGAATTGTGAGAGTTGAAACTTAAAGTATAGAAGTTGAATTTGATTTTAATAATCTTATATACTAACTTCTTATATAATAGTTAAATTTGTAATCTTCTTATTTACAAGTGTATCTGAATCTATTTATTTAATTAATTAATATTAATTTAATATAAAATTATTATTCCGAAGTGAAATGAGGGTTACATACTAAGAATATTGAATTCTGACCATTTATATATTTAATAAATTTTTTATAGATTTTATTTTTAAAAAAATAGATTCCATCCTTAGATGATAAAGGGTGTCATATGGCAATCTTTCTTTTTTTTTCTTTTTTTAATTTTAATTTTTGCTTTTTATTTTTCTCTATTTTTTTTATCAATGTTCTTATATTTAATAAATATTTTTTATAAATTTTATTTTTTAAAAGTATGACTCACTTTACATCAAGTCGTTTTTTAATTTTTTTTACCATTTTAAGTAAAAAAATATATTTATAAATAATTTTGATTTGATATAAGTATTTTTTTAAAAAATAGATATTGATTCAATTCGAATAGATTTTTTAATTGAATTTAGGAATGGATCAACAACGGATTTAATCTTTTATCAAAATTTCCTTATAATAACACCAAAAAAAAAATTGCCTCATAATATATATATAAATATATATTTTATTATTTATTTAATTTTATAATTATATATGTATGCATCGATTTTTTGTTTAAGACTTGATATTAAATGAATTTCACGTATAAAAATATCAAAAAATTTATTTTTATAATTTTATAAAAATAAAAAATAATTTAAGTATCCTATTCATCTCATGTTTTTTTTTTAATTGTTTGCCTTTTTTTACTTTCTAAAAATTAAATAAAATTTAAAAAATATATATAAATAAAAATAACAAAAATTTTGAACCGTGACGCAGCCTAGTACTCATAATTAATGGATAATTAGGACAGAGAAATTACTGGTTGGCAGTTCCTCATTAAGCTTTGATAAACCTCTCAGTTACCTCTTTTATTTTATTTTATAATAATAATAATTGGAACTCCAGCGTCCCGACTTTTCTTGTTAATGAAAGTTTTTTTTTTCTTTTGATTTTTCATATTCCTGTGATTTCCCATGGAGCCAAGTATTTACTCAATCAATGAGCTTCACCATTTTTCTTCTTGTTATATTGGATTTCGCTCTATAAACTCCAAATGCACCGTTCAATTTTCTCAATCTTTAACCTTATTCTCTCCTCGACCCTTCCGCCCTCTCAGAGTAGGGTTTCGATCGAACTCGCCGATTATCGCATGCAGCTCCGTCGCCGAGTCTGAAATTGAAACTTCTTCGCCGGCAGCCGGGAGTCCCGTCTCCGTCAATCCGGTTTATGTCCCCACGCCGGCCAATCGAGACACTCGAACTCCTCACAGCGGGTAATTCCAGTTGTGTTTAATGAATTTCAGTAATTTCTCTATTCAAGTCTTAGTTGGACTTGGCTGTTGTTTTGTTACTTTTGTTTACGTGAAAATGGTTAAAAGGTAAAATTAATGAACTTTTAATATTTTGGTACTAAGTAAAAGTAATGAACTACTAGTACTTTTGTTTGATTCTCTATGATTATAAAATAATACTACAATTTGATCAAAGATGAATTGTTTAGAACCCGCACTTAAGCTAAATTGGTTCATGCAACAACTTTAAGAGCTGACATTCAGCAATCTGGTACCTGCAATCTTTTCTCCGGTCTCCTACTGTGAACTCCTTTGTAAAAAAGGAATTATTTAAATATACTATATATTTAAACATATTTATTTTTTTATACTATTAAATAACTGTAAAAGAGCATCATACATTTTGTTAATTATTCCAAAAAAAATCAGTATTTTTAATTAAGTATTAATTCTTTAAACGTATACTAATTTAGTTTTGTATACAATGAAACTTTTTGTTTTCTGGCTTTTGTTCCCTTCAGTAAAAAGCAAGATTAGATTTTAATAAGTGCATTTTGAAGCTTAAATGTAAAGACTTTTGTTGGTTCATAATCTCTTCTTTTTATTATTATTTTAATCCATCAAGTATCAAGGAACCATAGTTTTGATATAGTCTAAATTTCAGGTTGTAATATTAAATTGAATTCATCAAAGGTCAAGTCTGCCATTCATGGCAATCAGCTAATCAAAGGCTATGTTTTATATAATTCCAATTGATGAAAAGCATTAGTATAGGTACCACTTTGATGGAACTACCCGGCAATTTTTTGAGGGTTGGTACTTTAAGGTAGCAATTCCAGAACGAAAACAGAGCTTTTGCTTCATGTACTCGGTGGAGAATCCTGCATTTAGGAGGGAATTGACGCAGTGGGAGATGCTGCAGCATGGACCTAGGTTTACTGGAGTTGGGGCTCAAATTCTTGGTGCTTATGACAAGTATATATCTCAATACACTGAGGAATCTCAAAACTTCTGGGGAAGTAAGTTTTCTCCCTTATTGGCCTCATGAGATTTGAATCTTCTTGTGGCCATCCCATTGTACCCGAGCTTTCAATCATGTAGCAATGCAACTGTGATCTATTAGATGTCAACGTCACTTATTTTATATAGTTGCTGCAGGAATGATGCCTTGTTGACTTCATTATAAAATATTTGATTCTTTTCTCTTCAAACAAAAATAACATTTATGGTGGGGAGCTACCTCCTATCTTTGTCCTTGGATAGATAGCAAGTTAGTAGCTTAATCCATATTAATAAGTTCTCAAACATTTGCCCTTAATTTTGAAATGAAATGCTGATACATCAATTTCTTTTTCTAGAGGAAGTTTAACTCGATGTTAATTCACATCATCCTCAGAATTTTATTTCACTGTGATGTTTCATCCATTTTGTGCACCATAACACATAGTCCTTTGGCTTTGTTACAGTTTAGCAATTAAGAACGTGTAATCAGTTTTCAGAGATTCTTTTCAATTGTTTTAAACTTTTATTTTTGGGCTATTTACATTGATTTTCTTATGGCCTCTCATTAGTAACTCTGCGGTTTTCCAAGCATCATGTTTATTACTGAGTACAATTAACTTTTTTTTTGGACTTTAGTAAAAAGGGTTCTGTTTCCTCTATGTTTTCTTGTTAGTTAACAACATGATGAGAGTTCTTGAACAGTTCAGCATCAATATAACCATTGTTAAAAATTTATACTATTATCATCAATCTTGTTTTGGTATTTTTCCGGTTTATACCTTTATAGTGCAGTGACTGAATGTATATAAATGGCAGTGTTCTATGCATAATTAACAATTTTTTTTATGCGTAGGTCGGCACGAGCTAATGTTGGGGAATACATTTTTAGCAAACAAAGCCTTACGTCCTCCAAGTAAGGAGGTTCCTCCTCAGGTGAATAAGCAGTTTCTGGATTCTACTATTTGAAGGAAAATGCCTCCAAAAAAAGCCATAAAGCTGCTGCTATGAGATATTTTATGTTGGTTAATCTTTATCCTTTCTTAACTTTACATATTTTATATGGTTGTTCCTTGTAGGAATTCAATAGAAAAGTTTTGGAAGGCTTTCAAGTTAGCCCACTTTGGCATCAAGGCTTTATTCGTGATGATGGCAGGTGCCTCCTCATATTGAACCCATAAGCATGATTTTAATATTAAACATACATAACAAAGCCTTCCTTTGTTTTTTTCTACTGTGATTTTTCATTTTTATTCAGAAACATAAAGCATTTAACTCTAACAGTGAATGTGTATTAGACTTGTGTGTCAGGGTGTGAAGAAACATCTGATTTTTTATGGATATCTTAAAGGAATTAATATTGTTATGTCTTTATGAGAAGTATCTAGGGAGTGTTATTTTGATGGTTGATGTGCTTATGCTCCCTTGTAGAAGTATTCCTGCTGTATGGTTACAAGTTATGTCCCTTGTTTAATCTTGGCGTAACGAACATGCCATCAGAAATAGAAGTGATTCTTTGATCAAGTCCCATTTCCTATTTTCATTCAAAGTCTATGTTGTGATTACATTAACTAAAACTAGAAATTGAGCAAAATTTTATACAGACTATCATTTATTTCAGCATTCATGTTTACATGGTTTGTGTTTTAATTGCAGGACATATTACGCAAAAACTGTTAAAACTGCACGTTGGGAGTACAGTACTCGCCCCACCTATGGATGGGGTAATGTTGGGTCCAAGCAGAAGTCAACAGCTGGCTGGCTTGCAGTTTTGCCCATATTTGAACCCCATTGGCAAATTTGCATGGCCGGTGGACTTTCAACAGGCACTTGCTTATGTCCTCCCTATTATCAATTACAGTTTGAATTGATTTCCTCTTGTTGTTCTGTAGTTTATAGTCTACATCTGTGCTCAGTTTGCTATGTTGTTTACCATTATTTTCCTATCGCCTTGACTGAAATTTGATCTTTTTAGAAATCCATGTTTCCTATTGAGAATATTATCTCTGGTTGTGACTTTGGATTGCAGGCTGGATAGAGTGGGATGGCGAAAGGTTTGAGTTTCAAGATGCCCCTTCATATTCAGAAAAGAATTGGGGTGGAGCTTTCCCTAGAAAATGGTTTTGGGTATATCTTCATTCCTTCACATCTCCCTGAATGCTTAGCTAACTATTGATCATGTTGTCCCAAGACATTTTTGCTTGTGTTAGGTTTTCCATTGAATCATGCTGAACCATTTCCATTTTGATCATGGTGATTCATCATTGATATATTACTACAGGCTCAATGTAATGTCTTCGAAGGTGCAAATGGAGAAGTTGCTCTGACTGCTGGTGGTGGGTTGAGGCAACTGCCTGGCCTGACTGATACCTTTGAAAATGCTGCATTGGTACTTCAATTTTATCAATTTTTACATTTGCTTTGCTTTCTCTTGATTCCATTAATGATTCCCCTGTCATGAAAAGAATTTTGTTGTGGAGAAAATAAGATATGAGCGATAGAGTGGAGAGAAAGGAGGAGAAAGGGAGAAATGTATTTACAATGGTCTCTTTTTACCATAATGCAAGTCCTAGAGCTGATTTTGCCACTTTTTCAAGTTACCTTGCTATGAATTCTGTTTCTCATTTTTTTGCGAAGAGGAATCTTTGACATTTATCATTAGTATTTGCCCATTGTTTGATTTGTCAATATGAGCTTATCAGTAGGTCTGTTGTTGATTCCTAATGTCCCAGAGGACTGGTTCTGAAGTGTTATTTTTGTTGTTTTATCGTTATTTGTCAAGAGAAAGAGTTAAAACCACTTCCTCTTTTCCACGTTTTGATTGTCTTGATGTGGTAGTATCCTTAAAAGTTTTAAGAATTGAAGCTGGCTATTGTCAAATATATCCTTGAAATCAGAGCAAACTATATTTTTTGTTTTAAGCTTGTAGTTATTTGTTGTTTTTTTTTTCACTATAGCTTGATTTATATATTCATCTTATTTGCTGCTGCAGATTGGAGTGCACTATAATGGAGTTTTCTATGAATTTGTACCATGGAATGGTGTTTTATCTTGGGAAATTGCTCAATGGGGTTACTGGTACATGGCTGCGGAGAATGAGACACATATGGTAATTTTGCATCTCTTGGTGATATTTTCTTCCCTCCATTGTGCTAGTGTCAAGAGTTTTCAAACATTTTGTAAATATAATATCTATGGACACGTGGACCTGGTAGATTAAAACTTAAAGGTGGTGTGAATGATTGTAATGCTCATGTACTGTCTAAAAAGTATTTATTGGTGAACTCTTATTGTTTCCTATTTATGAGCAGGCTGAGTTAGAGGCAGCAACAAATGATGTGGGTACAACGTTGCGTGCTCCAACAACAGAGGCTGGCCTTGCTCCAGCTTGTAAGGACACCTGTTTTGGTGATCTAAGATTGAAGATCTGGGAAAAAAAATATGGTGGCACTAAGGGGAAGGTATGTTATTGTTATCTTCCTGACAGTTTTGAACTTTTGTTTCCATCAATTCAGGGCTAGGTAAAACAATCTGCTTCAGTTCTTTCTGAGCAATGATTTTTTCTACTTCTTTGAATTTTCTACTAGTTCAATAGGATTATATCACATTTGAGTATACATTAAGTATGATTCGTGCTGCCTTTGGGGCTTTCTGCCCATCCAAATTTGGTCCAATTTGAGATGGGAATCTAGGAATGGGTAATTTTGAAATTGCAAAGTTCCTTGTTAGTTTTAATATTGTTCTTGTTGTGACAAAGGCACTATTTGTGCAACCATTACATGCTTGTGGGGGTACGGTGTCCTCAGGCAAATCCCTGTTAGATTTACTCCTTAGCATGAGGTTTGATGAATCCACAACTTTCTCATTTGAAAAATGCTGATGGTATTTACCTTTGTCTGTCCAATGGCTTTTGTTGCTACCCTCAATGCTATATTGCTATTGGCTCCAGAAGTTGCTTTTGATAAATTCATTTAAGTCTATCTGGTCAAGTCTAGTTCTTACCTTACTTTTAATACAATAATTTGACTTCTACTAGAGAAAAAGAAGTGATGGTATGCTCACACCTCCCGTCTTTTCGATATGCAGCTAATCTTGGATGTTAAAAGTGACATGGCAGGACTAGAAGTAGGAGGAGGGCCATGGTTTAACACTTGGAAAGGGAAGACTACAACCCCAGAGGTCATAAAAAATGCTCTTCAAGTTCCTGTTGATGTGGAAGGAATATTTGGTTTGGCTCCATTTTTCAAACCCCCTGGGCTATAAATCATTGCATCTGTTCTCAGAATGGAATATGCTCTTCAATCTTCCAAGTTTAATGAGAAGTGTAGCTGATGATCCATTCCATGCTGCAGGTCTGCTGATCTTCAACAAATGGCAAAATGCATAGACACTGTAAAGCATATGGTAACAATTTGTATAAGATCAAGGATTCTACTTTAATATGTCAGGTTTGGATGCGAGGATTATAACTCGTGCTGTTTGTTGACCACGTATTATTCCTTTAGCTAAAAGAAGGACGAAAAAAAAAAAAAAAATGAATTATAGATCAGCAGTGGCCAACGGTTGCTTGTCGAAGAAATGCCCATAAAAGAAAATTAATAAAGCTGGCAGTTGACTGCAATCGTGAAAATATTTTTTTGACCATGATTCTTGAATAATTAGATCGGATAATTATTTAGCATGGTTATCACCTATGGCATAATAATGGCAATGTGGCAATGTCGACTTACATAGTTATGCAAGCCATAAGATATCACCGAAAGAAACAAACATAAAAAACCTACTTAAATGAAAATTAAAAAAAAAAAATCATCTTCATTTTAATGTTAAAACCGAGATTTTATTTACTTGAAAAAAAAAAACTTTGATTATAACAACAATCCGATTTCAAGTTAAAATAAGAAAATTATTTTTCGGTGCAAATAGATAAAAATAAAAAAAAAGAGTTTGAACAAGTTAAATAATAATTGATTATCTTAGAAATTCATAATTTTTAAGATAGAAATCCATTAACAAGTAAAATTTATAAGATGTATTAATAGAGCATTGAATTTAATTTTCAGCGGTTAAGTTCAAATTTTAGTAATTTCAAATAAAACAATTTATCAACAAAAACGTAAAAATAAAAAAAAAAATTCAAGAAAAAACAAAAGGATGAAAAAGAAGAAAAAAACTTTTAAATAAAAAATTTTAAATATAGAAAGATTAAATATTTATTCTCTATTAAAACTTTAGTTTAAAATTTTGGATAAATTACAGAAAACAATATGTGGTTTGAAATAGGTTTAAAATGCCTCCTGTTTTAAGTATGTGAATTTCATCATTGGAATAATTTTTTATCTAATCTCAAAATTTTATAAATTAATTATTAAATATTTTTATTAAAAATAAATAAAAATTCTTTTGTTGGAATATTTTTAAAATTTTTTCAGAGCTTTGTAAGATTTTGGAAAAATACCCCACTTATAAATTTTAAGAAAATCACCGATTATGATTTCCTTTTAATTTCTTCATGGGAAAAATCTTATTTACTTCCAAATCTTTATCAAATTTACATGATAAAATTTAATTATTAAATATTTTATTAAAAAGTAAATAAGAATTCTTTTTATTGAAATACCCTAAAATCTTCTTAACACTTTAAAAAATTTCTCACCTAAAAGTTTTAAAAATAAAATTGCCATTTATGATTTTATTTTCACTTATATCTAAAATTTTATAAAAGTTTACATAATACAAATACAAAGTTATAATTATACAAAAAACTTATTCTACATTTAAAAATAAAAATCAAGTAATTGAAATTGTTAAACCACTTTTTATTATCACCAATTGAGAATAATTAAACACGTATAACCTAAGAATATAAATGTGCATGTAGTAAAATATATTAACAAATAAAAAAAGTTAAAGAAATATACCAATCCAAAGAGAAAAGGTTAATAGCCCCAAAACACAAAGAGCTGACAAATTGGATACAAGGAAATTGGGTTTGGTTCAAATGAGAGCTCAAGGTTGAGGATTAGAATCGGATCTTGAGCTGATAGATAGGGTTGGAAAAAAATTGATTGAAAATTATAGTGTTTAATTTGATTTGAATAAGTTTTTTTTTTTATTTAATTTGAATTTAATTTGAATATTAAATATATATATTAAATTTAGATTAAATTTTAGATTAAAGAGTTAAATTAATTAAATAAAAATATTTTTATTAATGTATATATATTTTAAATTTTATAAAATAAAATAATAATTTTATATTTAAATTATATTAAAAATTATATTAAAATAATATAAAAAAATTTAAAAATCAAATAAATCTAAAATTTGATTCGAATCAATTTATATAAAAATTTAATTTAAATTTAAATTAAATTTTAAAAATTTATAATTTTATATATTATTTAATTAAAAGCGATCCAAACTAAATATAATCTCATCGGACCTTTTATCACTCCTAATGATAGAAATGGATCAATAGCCTTTTTTCCTTGATTTTTTTCCCCAATACTCACCATTTTATGTATAGTATAAAAATTGGATTTTTTTTCCTTGCTTTCATTTCTTCCTTATTCTTCTCTTTATTCTTTCTCCTTCTCTCTGCATTCTTTCTTCCTCAACCAGATGCTTTAATGAATTCCATATTTCGACGAGCCTCCGCTTCTGGGGTCTCAACCTCTCCAAACCTACATTTTCGACACTTCAAAAGGTCCAGATTTTCACTATGTTCTGTTTCGTCTCTCAAAATGATCAAAACACTTTAAAAAATTTGACACCTAAAGCCCTAGCACTATCCACATTGCTACCAACTTTTGCTGTTTTTCACCATTTACACAACCTGAAACCATCTTCCTATATTTACTTACTACTCTAAAGTTTCAAAAAATCCTAGTAATCCCTTAACTTCGAAACCTTAAACTCTTAAACCCCTAAAATCTCCAAACCGTAATTAAAGAATTCTTTTTTGCCTTTTTGGGCTTCTACTTTTTGTTGATTGGTTTTGTGCTGTATGTCTATATATTGTTTGTGCTTATTGCATATTGTTGTGTTCTTTTGTTGTTGCTGTGCTTTCATGCAGGTGAATTTTTCATTGAAAATTCTATATGGCTGTAGAGTATTTTTTATTTATTTTTATTTAGCAGTAAGAGTTTCTCTCAGTATATTCCATCTCCAGCTGGTCCAAGTAAGCTTATTAACATCGCATCCGATGAATTTATGAGAAATTATTTTTTCAAATCATCCAACGGATTCAAATTAGGCAACAAGTAGAATGTGTTTTTTTTAATGGCTTTGATTGTTCCCTGTTTTGGTTTACAAAATTGAAACATGGAACCCTAAAAATCTTCACCGCCAGGATTTTTACTGCTAATATTGCTGTCGAATTATTGTGTTATTATGTTGTTTTATAGGGAATTGGTCCCAATCTGAAAAAGGATTCTAAAAGAAAGAAGTTCGTTCCTGTAAATTGCTCTGTGTTATTCCCAGGGGATCTTTATCTTTAAAGGATTTAATCCCCAAAAACTTATCTCCAAAGGAATTCAATCGAATCCCTTTGGGATTTTTCTCCAAATTTTTTATTTATATATAAATATGTTTATTTCCATTACATAAATTTAAATTAGAACTTTTTTTAATTTAGAATTTTTAAATTAAAAAAATTAAATTGATATCTATCTATTTATTTTATCTATTAATTACTATTGACAAATACTTAAAATCTATTAATTTGTAATAAATATTAAGTCATAATTTATGTGAATTTGAAAAAATTTAATTTAATTTTTTAAATTCTAGCTTCTACTAAATAAGATAAATTAAATTTAAAATTTCAATTGAAAAATTTAAGCGTGACATGTATAATGATGTAAGACATCAAAATTTATCTTCTTTATCACTATTGTATCTTATTTTGATTGAAATTAAAAAATAAAAAATATATTATTTCATTAATAGATTGATCAAATTTATTTTAATTTTTTTCAGTATTTATAATAACTAGCAAGTTCAATGAATATTTTCAACTATGAAAATTATCAAAACAAAACTACGAAATAACATGGAAGATGGTTTATATATATATATAACTTAGTTTTCAATGTAGAAAAAAAGATTTAATTTAAATTTAATTGTTGAAGATTTTATTTTTTAAAAAAATAACATTGCTCATAATTTTAAATAAAATCATTTATTTGTTATATTCTATTTTCTTATACTTTTATTTTGAATTAATAAAATTTAAGATTTTATAAATTTGTTATTTTTTTAGTATATTATTTCATATATGTTTTATGTTAATAAAATGTATCGTAGTATAACTCAAATGAAAAATATATATAATTTTAAACTTTTAATTAACCTCCTTAAAATCAAACATCAAGATCTGTCACTATATATATTATTTTTTAAGTTAATCACAATTTTAGTATTTAAATTTTGAAAAAATTCTATAAATTGATAACTAAATAAATAAAATGTACAATTTACATATTAAACTTTCATCAAATGTATAATTTACATATTAAATTTTCAAATTATGCATAATATTGATCTAAATTCTAATCTCGTTATCTGTATCAACATATATATATATATATATATATATGATATTTGACAAATATTATTAAATTATATATTCATCACATATATTATAAACATTTTTTCAATAAAAAAGATCTAAAAATATATTTTTTTATCTGAGAGTAAAAATTATTTAGGAAATCAATCAATTATTATTTGTCATGTGATATCCACATGAAATCGTTACAAAATATTTGGTATTTTTATTCAACAAATAACATGTATATAACAAAATTATAATAGTTAAACACAATATAGGCAAGTTAAATTAATAATATTAGAATTTGAATTAAAATAATAAAAATTTAGAATGTAAATTGTATATTTTATTTTTTACATATCAATTTATAAATTTTTTAAAAAATTTAGATATAAAAAGTATAATTAATTATTATTTATTTTATTCTTATCTGAAAAAAAAAAAAAAAGAAAAAGAATGAATGGGGATGATGTTTCTTGGAATGTTAAGGTGGGCGTGGTCCTTTTAGACAAATGAGAAACTAGAAATATGAGAAAAGAAGGGTCAAATAATAGTTTTATTAGAAAAAGAGATCAAATATTGTTTTCAATGAAATGTATTATTTTATTTCAATGTTATAAAAAAAAAAAAAAATTTTGCCCCTGCCTTTAGAGTGGAGAATGGTTCAAGGATTTATGTAATCTTTGAAGTAGTGGGTTCAGTTTTGATACCTTTCCTATTTCATTTCTATTTTCGTGATTGATTTGGTTCTGCATGCTACCAAAACAGTTTGTTATTCATTACTGTCTATATCCCTTGGCATCCCTTTTCTTGATTTCTTCCTTTGGTAATGGATAAATCCTGCTTGAAAAACCAATGGATGATGCAGGCAAAGCTTCTGCTGTGCATCGTTACACTGATCACTCTGCTATCAATATCCTCCAAACCTGTCTTGGCCTTGGGGAATAATGAAACTGACAGACTAGCTTTGCTTGCTTTGAAGAACAGCCGTGGGTAGTTCTTCTGGAGCTCTAAGTTCATGGAATACTTCTCTCCATTTTTGTGAGTGGGAAGGCGTTCGATGTGGTTGCCGGCACTAGAGAGTGACCATTTTGAACGTGAGTAGCTTGAACTTACTTGGCTCCATATCTCATTCAATCGGAAATTTAACCTTCCTTAGAAGAGTCAACTTCTCTTATAACGGGTTACAAGGAAGCATTCCCAAGGAACATAGTCACTTGAGGCGGCTTCGTTCTCTAAATCTAGAGGGTAATCAACTCCAGGGCAAAATGCCAGTGGAGCTTAGCAATTGCTCAAATTTCAAAATTTTTGCTTTAAGTAAGAATAATCTTACTGGAGAAATTCCTTTCTTCTTAGGGAATTTGAAGAATCTCATTAGACATCATATTCCTGCCAATAATTTGATTGCGGTATTCCATGTTCTCCGGGAAACCTTTCAGCCTTGTATATCCTCTCTATCAGGCAATAATTTGGTGGGAAATATACCAAATGCTCTTGACAGATTATCAAACTTGCGCTACCACTTTATAGCTAGCAATAACCTGTCTAGTCCAATTCCTCCAATTTACAATCTTTCGTATGTGATAATGATAGATGCAGCTCTGAACCAATTATCTGGGAGGCTTCCACCAGAAATGGACGTTGCGTTCCCGAATCTTGAAGTAATATATATCGGAAAAAACCGATTGACAGGAACAATTCCAGTATCTGTGTCCAACATCTCTAGCCTGCAACAATTTGACATTTCCGCTCATGGTTTCAGCGGACCAGTTCCTGCTAATATAGGGAAGCTTAAGGATATTCAATGGTTAGTCATTGATTATAACCACCTTGGAAGTGGGAAAGCAGGAGACTTTGGATTTTCTTTCGTCTTTAACCAACTGCAGCCTATTGGAAGCTTTGGATATACAAAGCAATAGATTTGGTGAGGAGATTCCGAACTCTATAGCTAATTTATCAACCTGGCTTGAAGAGATTTACATGGATGGGAATCAGATCATAGGAAGTATTCCGGAAGGAATTGGCAATCTCGTCAACCAGGATGTAGTGGACATGGCAGAAAATTTTCTTGTTAGTGAAATTCCTATTTCCATCAGAAATCTTCAAAATCTTGAAGCATTGTATCTCGGTTTCAATCAAGTAACTGGTAAAATCCCATCCTCCATCGGCAATCTCTCTCGACTGTCTAATCTTGATTTATCCCATAATAAATTTGAAGAAGCAATTCCATTATCACTCGGGAAATGCAAAAATTTGCAAACGTTGGACCTTTCCCAAAATAAACTCAATGGCAGTATTTCATATCAGCTATTTGGTGCTTTTGAAAATTGTTTTATCTTAATCTGTCTCACAACTATTTCACCGATCTCCTTCCATCAGATTTGGGTAAGGTGAAACTTGTAGAGTTATATGTTGATAATTATAATTTCTTTGGTGAAATTCCCAAGGCACTTGGTGAGAGTTTAGAACTAAGAATCCTCTTTATGCAGATTAATTCATTTGAAGGTAACATTCCTCAATCTTTTGCTTCTTTGAGATCTCTTGAAAGCTTAGATCTCTCTGGTAACACTTTATCAGGCAACATACCACCTGAACTTCAAAAACTTCCATTTTTAGTGAGTTTAAACGTTTCTTTCAATCAACTGGAGGGTGAAGTGCCAAAAGGACGGGTTTATAAAAATACCAGTGGATTTTCGTTTTTCAGAAATGAAAAGCTTTGTGGGGGAATTCCAGAATTAGAGCTTCCGAAATGCATCGATGAGAAACCAAATAAAAGGGAAAGGTTTTGTCAACCAAAGTCATTATTGCTATTATCCTCAGCATTCTTCTTGGCTCTATTATGACTCTGCTTCTTGTTTATCTTTCCTGGAAACTTAAGTCAAAAAGGGGACTTATCCCCGTAGCTTTGTTTGGTGATGCCTACTTGTGTCTGTCATACAAGGAGCTTCTTCAAGCGACCCAAGGTTTTGCTTCTTCCAACTTGATTGGCAGTGGAAGTTTTGGCATTCTATATAAAGGAGTTCTTCATCAGCAAGAAAAGATTGTTGCAGTGAAGGTACTCAACCTTCAAAACCATGGGGCTTCAAAGAGTTTCACGGTTGAGAGTGTAAGGCTCTAAGAAAAGTTCGACATCGGAATCTTCTTAAGATTATAACTTCTTGCACAAGCATTGATTACAAAGGCAATGCTGTCAAGGCTTTAGTTTTTGAATTCATGCATAATGGAAGTTTAGAAAGCTGGTTACATGAAAAACATGAGTCAAGGTATTTGAAACTTGTTCAAAGGTTAGACATTGCTATAGATGTGGCTAATGCTATAGATTACCTTTGTCATGATTGTGAGACACCGATTGTTCATTGCGATCTAAAGCCTACCAACGTCCTTCTTGATAATGACATGGTGGCACATGTTGGTGATTTTGAATTAGCTAAGCTTCTGTCTAGCTACACAAGCAATATGTGTAACAAGCACCTCAATGATTAAGGGAACAATAGGTTATGTTCTCTAAGTATGTTAATCATCCAACTTCAAATCGATTGATGGTAGGTGGAGAGGTCTAACCTGAATATAAGGTTATAAGAAATTAGAAATTAGAAATTTATTTGATGTGGGATAACCCACTTTAACAAGCCTCTATCACGTGTAGGTAATGATGGAAGAAGCCCTATACGTGACAAATTAAAAAAGGGTAATGAAAGGAAAATTTTGACTCTGATGCCATGTTATGCATCCAACTTACTACCAATTGACAATAAAGTGGAGGGGTCCAACCTGAATATAAGACTATAGGATATTAAAAATTTATTAGATATGTGATAACTCACTTTAACAGATCCCATCACCTGTAACTATAAAATCGATTGACGATAAGTGAAGGGGTCTAACCTAAATATAAGGTTATAAGAAATTAGAAATTTATTAGATGTGTGATAACTTACTTTAACAGGCTTCTATAACATGTAGGCGATAATGAAAGAAGCCTTACACGTGACAAATTAGAAAAGGACAATGGAAGGAAAATTTTGACTCTGATACTATGTTAAACATCCAATTTACTACTAATTGGCAATAAAGAGGAGGGTCCCAACCTGAATATAAGACTATAGGATGTTAAAAATTTATTAAATATGTGATAACTCACTTTAATAAACCCCATTATATGTAACTATCACTTGGCAATAAAGTGGAAGCGTACAACTTGAAAATAAGATTATAGGATATTGAAAATTTATTAGATGTGGAAAAACTTACTTTAACAGACTCCATCGGCGGAAATGAAAGAAACCTACTACATGACAGATTTGGAAATAACAACAGAAGAAAATCCTGGTTTTGATATCATGTTAAACATCTAACTTGAAATCTCCTAATCTGAATATAAGATTATAGGAAATTAGAAATTTATTAGATGTGCATACTAACAAGGTAAAATTCATATGTTTCTTGTCTTTTTTTAGTTAAATGAATTGCTTTATTAGAAAATTCTGTAGAATCATAATCTTGGCAACTAGCTTGACATATTTATGGCGTTCACTAGCAAATTCATTCTTAAAGTTGCAAACGAATCAATGTGCAAATGCAGAGGGAACTCTTTTTCTTAAGCTGGAAAAATTGTTTGAAAAATATTGCAAATTCTTTCTCTTTGACTTTACGCTTGATTGTCTCCAGCCTCAGCTCTTAATTGGCCTGAAAACACAGGGTTGGTATTAAAAGAGTTTCTAATCATCTTATAAACAAATTATTGCAGAATATGGAATGGTTGTGGCGGTGTCTCCAGAAGGTGACATTTACAGCTCTAGGATTCTGCTCTTGGAGATGATCATCGGAAAGAGACCAACAGATGATTTGTTTCGTGATGGCTTAAGCCTTCATAATTTTTGTAAAATGGTACTACCAGAAAGGTTGGTGCAGGTTCTCGATTTTTGCCAAATTGAAGAAATTGGTGAAAATAGGCAGAAACTAATGGAAGGAGAGATATGGGAGTGCTTGGTTTTTTTCACTAAAGTTGGAGTTGCATGCTCTGCAGAAGTACCTGGTGATAGAATGAGAATCAAAGATGGTATCGTAGAATTACATGCAACTAAGGCAAGGTTGCTTCGCATGGGGGTTCGAAATGGGAACAGAAGATAGGCAGCAACGGCAACAACTGTTGAATTGGAGTCAGGTTTTGCTGGTGTTACATCCACTATATTTTGTATCAATAATTGATATATTTCAACACAACTTTGCATGTTTGCAAACCTTTTAAACTAGGATTGTCTGCAGAGATATTTAGAGATTTGGCTTTGTGGTTATCTGATTGCTTTTCTTTTAAGTTCCTCCCAAGACCAAAGCCCGCTGGTCTTTTCAAAATTAACTTAATGGTCTCTATCGATATATCTCACTGAATCAGTGATTCTTTTCATGCCATAAATTGCTATAAACTATAAAGAACTTGTAAAATAGATATTTTTAGAGTAAACTCTTACGCCAATATGAATGCTTGGCTCATGTCCAAGCATGGTGCAACTCCACATTCAAGAACATCATATAGGCAATACATGTTTGAGACATTCAATCAGCTTGAACTCGCTTGTAGTTTGTGTTCCAAAACAATGTTTGGAAAAGCTTCATTGCAAAAAAAAAGTTCTCTGTTTTGATAAGCAGTCACTGAAAATGTCCTCTTATGCTATTTCCCATTAGAGATGATAGAAAGATCTGCAGAGGTCCCTAAAAATGTTTGCATACCTGCCCTGTCCTAGATTGCAATAAATGAGGAAGTTTTCTCACTTTTTATTCATCATTGTACCATTATTATAAGACAACTTTCCTTTAAGGAAACTGATCCTACAGTAAATGTCAGTTACAAAATTTCTTATAGAAATATTCCTAGAGCTAACGTCATCCTGAGACCAACTTAATCCGAACGACGCTGAGAAAAATTGACTAAAGTCATCCCGTGAATAACCAATCTTTTGTAGAAACCATTTTCAAAATAACCTTATCCCTATATAATTCATCATCATAATCTGCGGAATTAAATTCACCATCACAACCCACTTTAATGCATCTTGCTTCTTTAAAGCAGTAGCCATATCTCCAGGTGTACTACCTCCGAACAACGCAGAGAAAAATTGACTAAAGTCATCCCGTGAATACCCAATCTTTTGTAGAAACCACTTTCAAAATAACCTTATCCCTATATAAAATTCATCATCATAATCTGTGGAATTAAATTCACCATCACAACCCACTTTAATGCATCTTGCTCCTTTAAAGCAGTAGCCATATCTCCAGGTGTACTACCCTCGATTGAGTTTTCTTCTGCTCTTAATAACTTTGCTGCTTTTGCACCAAATAATTGTGACTGAGGGATTATAACATTCTAATCTCATATCAAGAGATTTTAAAAATTTATTATGATATATAAGTAAAAGTTTAAATTTAAACTTATAAGGCATTTTTTTGAAACAAAACTGTGAAACGTTCGAATCAGAATGAACAATACCTTACAGGTTAGGTACGAGTTTTCATAAATATTATCAGAGTGATCACTAGTTGAACATGAGTTAAGTGTTACATTGTAGGAGCCGTCTCTAGAATCATGCAGGAGCTAAATGCTAAATGATGCGATTTATCTCAAGAATCTCAACGTCTGGTGTGATCCTGTGATTTGTATGTATTTTGTATTGGATTTGTTTAACGTTTTGTGTGATTTGATGGATCTATGTGCTTTATATTGAGCTTGACAGGTACTTTAATCTTTAATGGGGGAGTATGTAAAATCCCAATTCTATGTCGAGAGATTATGAGAATTTGCTATGATATATAAGTAAAGGCTTAAATCTAAACTTGTAAAGTACTTTTTATGAGATATAATCTTGAGACTTTTAGATCAAAGTGTACAATATCTTAGAGGTTGAGTGCGAATCTCTATAGAGATAGCTGATCAACCACTAAAACTCCATTAGCATTGGTGAAATAATTATTTTTGGATGCATTTGCCTTACAAGTGTTTCAAATCCAAAGATTCACAATTTAAAGATTCAAGGGTTTGAGTCAAAGATTCGCAAGGTTTCATAACAAAAATTGAAAGATTCCAAGACTCAAAGTTTCGCAAAGATTTAAAAATTCACAAAAAGTCAAGATTCATAAAGGTTTGCAAGAATTCCAAGTTTCACAAAGGTTCTAGATTTGCAAAAGTTTCAAGTTTTGCAAAGATTCTAGATTCACAATGTGTCAAGTTTCGCAGAGGTTCTAGATTTGTAAGGTTCCAAGTTTCGCAAAAGTTTCAAATTTGCAAAGGTTTCAGATTCGAAAAAATTTTTACGCAAAAATGAAAAATTCATAAGAATTCATATTCATAAGAATTAAAATTCGTAAGAATTTCAGTTTCACAAAAATGAAAGATTTGTAAAACTTCAAATTTGCAAGTATTGGAACTTTGTCATTACCAAAATTCCTAGATTCAAGGATTCACGTTCAAAAGATTTTTATTAGTGATTCATATCCAAAATTCAATGTTTCATTTTTGAAAATTTTATGGATTTACATAAAAAATTTTAAGGCTCACATCTAGAATTCAAAGATTTTCATTCAAAAAAATTTTAGAGATTCACATCAAAAGATTCTTTTTGAAAAACTTTATAGCTTTGCATCCAAAATTTTAAATTTTAGAAATTCTCATTCGAAAAATTTTAGTGATTATGCTCAAAGGTCTTATAATTGTAAGTATTTTGAAAAAAAAAAACAGCTCCTTTAAACAAAAGTTCTATACCTTTAAAAGTTTGAAAAGTTTTATTTGTCAAAAAATCTCATAATGAAAGATCTTCCTCATTCGGGATTCAAAAGTCGAACATTTTCTCCTAGTAAAGTAAAAAATCTTGTATGCGACAAATGTCATGATAATAATGCAAATACCTTCTAAATGATGCAAATGCAACAATTCAAATTCTCACTAAATGATGCAAATGCATATGTTATACAATGATCCACATATTCCCTATATGATGCAAATGCATACCTCAACAATGATACAAATGTAATTATTAAGGATTTAAATGCAATGTAAACACCACATATGTAATGTAGATATCACTAAATCATTACTATGAAATTTCAAATATGGTAACAGGGTTCTTAAAACTCTAATATTCATTTTTAGCTTCTCAATACTAATAATTTTAGAACAAATTTTGTCAACTGATCCATATTATTTTCCTCATCTTGTCTCAACCCATATGTTATATTGATCAATCCATCACTGTTTTCATCATTGGGTTACCTTATTTGCCCTTTTCAAATCATTTTCTCAGGTTTCTTTCACTTTAGTCATTTGGATTTCCTTCAAAAGAATGAAAAAAAAATCTTTTATAGACATTGTCATTTCACTTATTTATCATCATTTTAAATCATGACAAATATGATGCATTCCCTTAATTCATTCAGGGGATGTACATTTTGTAAAGAAAAGAAAATTAGGCATTCATTATCAAAAAAAGTTT